TTGAGGCTGTGGGTCAGCTGTTTTATTATTAAATAGTGCAGCACAGATGGCAGATACCAGAAATAGTCGTGCAAATACAAAATGATGCTGATGTTTGCACCTGTGAGAAACCCATCATTTATCAGGCCAGATATTACTCACAGGCTTACTTGCTTATTCTAACGCGTTTTGCTTTTAGTTGACTTTCTAGAGTGGGATTGATGTATTTTAACTTCAGCTTGCTTTGTGTTTAGGAAAGTAGCTTTAGGCTATAACTGCATAATGTAGCAGCCTTCGCAGAAGTGTTGCTTTCCGAGTTTTGTCGGTGCTGCCATGCCGAGGTGTGCTACCACAGCGGTTATGGTGACGGGCAGGTGTCCCCGCGGTAAATTGGGGGTTTGCTTGGAAGAGGCAGGAACCCCGTCAGCCAGCTCTGCTGCTGGGCCTCCTCCCGCTGCCCCCCTCTGCTTTCAGGGAGGCTGCAGCCTGTGCTCACCAGTCTCCCGAGAGGATTGTAAACCGCAGCAGGTTTTTTTCACAGTTTTGGCAAATTTAAACAACTGCCGGTGCTGGTTTTTTGAAATTGTTGACACTTTTAAATGAATTTACTGCAGTAAACTCATCAAGAGCTAATGAAAGCGGTTACAGTAAAATCTTGTTCATCACTAGGGGCATAAAATAGCCTGATAGCTCCTTATGGCTTACTGATGTTTGGTGTGCACCAGTCCAGAAAAATTGAGCCATCTGCTTGGATCGTCAGGTGGTTTGAGTTTAGAAGCAGAATCTTCCATGATCCAGAACTGCACTGTGACTATTTGAGACTTGTGAGTTAAAATGACATTCACATCTTAGTTGACTATCATCAACTCAGTCCTTTGGCCTGCCAGTCCTGAGTGTTGGTCCTTCCACATGCTGGCAGAATAAAGTGCGCCCTTCATGTTACACTGGGTCTTGTTTGCTCGGTTGTCTCCTTGCCCTGTGGAAGATGCAAGTCTTAGGCCTCCTCTGTTGCCGAACTGGAAAGCCAGTTGAAACAATCTGTCGAGTTCAGTCATACAAGGTTGGAATAGAAGCAGAAATCCCGTGCTATTTCAAACTGGGTTTTGTAGCTGTTAACCACTGGCAAAGTGATTTAAACCTAAATGCCAAAGTTTGGAGAGGAGAGTAGTTTCTGTACGTGTGCAGCAAAAGCTATAGATGTCAGAAATTTGATTAACAATTTCCTTGACTTTGGTTGAAGATTATTAGTCACTTATTTTAACAAATCAGTGTTGTATACATACAATATGCTGCTCATCGATGTAATCTCAGTAATTTGGTACGTTTTATTTTTCAAAGGTTGTTATAGGTATTATTTAAGCATTTTTTTTCCTGAAATATTGACATAATTGGGTAAAGCTTAAAAGCTCTTGCCACTGGAAGAGGCTTTAGTCACCTTAAGGGCTAGACTGCTTTAGTTTTTATTAAGGTTATCATCAACTTTGGCAGTTGTAGACTAAAAGAAATTCAAGAGTGACTTCCAGCCACCATTGCAGGTACACTCTTGGAGAGTTGTATTTTTTTCTATCGTGTGGCTAGTAGTTCAGTCAGATAAAATAATGATTGCAGAATGCCAGAAGGAATGTTTTTAATACTGCTAATAGCGTTCATCTTGAATCTTTGTTATCTTTGGTAGACCATGTTTGAGTAGACTATAATAGTGGCTCAGAGGTTGTGGATGCAAATAAAGGTCCTGGTAGCATAGGTTAAGGTTTTGGCTAGTTTAGTTGTTTTGTTGATGGCCTAAATTATATGGAAATAATAGCAAAAGAAGACAAAATTTTAAACTGCTCCTTACTTAGCTATGACAGAAAAGAAGTGTTTAATACTGGGAAGGGTTTTTTGGCGTATTACAAAATAAACTAGAGGGAGAATAAGTGAGATACCCATACAGAGTATTTCTTCTCTGTGAGATTGGAGAAATGCTGCATTTAATCAGCCTGGAACAGATCCAGAGAAATTTTTATTTATTTCTTCTCCAGGCTTGTTATCTTTGATGTTCTAAGTATGTTATGACTTTAAGACTAGTTGTTAGATTATTGAATTTAATACTTGGCCTTTATTATGGTTTTCTATAAAGGTTTCTCTACAAGTCATTTTGCAATTATCTTTTCATGTAAAAGCAAATGGCAAAATACGTGACCTACTTTGCAATGTTTCAAAAGAAAATCCAATAGCTAATAAGCGGTGTTCATTAAATATTATTTGCCATTCCTTTTCTTTTAACTGAATTTTAAAAGTCAAGTAATACTCAGTATAGAAAAGGTAGGATTCTTTTTCCTCTCTTTCACGTAGTCTGGTATCTCTTAGGTCTGTGATTTATTTTTTTTTTTTTAATTTTTTCATTTTTAATCCAAGGGAACATTATAAATAAAAGGGTTTTTATGCTGAGAATTGTATGATCTGCTGCTGCTTATATCACATGCCATCACAGCAATTTTTGAATGCTCTGAGCAGCTGTTCTTACGGGATCTTATTTTTTATGTAAATGTTTTGCTTACCTGTCCCAAAGCTGGTAGTACTTTTTGACTGTTGTTTCTATCTCAACGTCTGATTGGTTTGGGTTTTTTGTTTGGTTGGTTTTTTCACTTGTGTGCCCTTGTCTTTATCTCTGAAGGTGTCTCATAACTTTTTCTCTCTTTTTTTTTTTTTTTTTTTTTCCTCATGGACTTAAAGTTTGTCACACCTTGCAACATGTTCTAGGATTTTCCAACTTGTCAAACTTGAATATTTATTTTTGTTTTACCTCAACTTTTTACTTTGTTTTTCCTTTCTTAAAACAAGCTGATACAGTAGCTTTATCATTGTTTAACAAACATCAGTTTGTTAGTTTAGGTGGGGAGTGTGCTTTTGAAGTCTGTCTCCCAAGCGTCCCCACTTCAGCATGCTTTGGTTCACATTGCAGAGCAGTCTTGGTATGAGTGAATTTGATTCCTTCTGGATCAAAATAGGCTGGAAGAGATGCTCCAGGAGTGCACCACCATGTTCTGCTCTCTAACAGCAACCAATCCATGGCATCAGGTGTTTTAGTCACGGCTAACTGTAGTTAGAAATGCATACAGTATGTATGTTAGGCCCTCAGGACCAACTGTTCTGTTTTACAAATGCACTTCTCTTTGGCTGCATTACTTGCTGATGCAGATGTGACCTGTGAACTTTGCTATATGAGTGCTGAGCTGAAGCCACTGGTAGTTATTTAAATTGTTCTTTTTATTCACAGCCAGTTCTTCACTAAGAAAGGAGAACTTTGGTCCACTGTGGCACATATTTTAGTTGGGGGGTTTTTTTCTGCAGGAAGCTTTTGTCTTAGTATGTCAAACCTTTTGTATCTGCAAGTGTGGATGTTTATTGCTGTAGTTGCTTATTATAAAATATGTACACTTTGTTCAAAATAGGTGTGAGTATATAGTATTTTGGGGTGATATTTCTGATGGTCTACAGTAATTGCCTGCTCTAATTTCTCATTCCTTCTGTATGTATTCAAAAAATCATAAATACTTTGTGATTTACAGACATTAATGCTACTTTTGATATTTAGTGTCTGCCCTGCGTGTCCTTTTTCTGATTTCTACCATCTAGATTTGGCCCCAGTATAGACAACTAACAGATTCAGTTTATAAGGTTTGTTTGAGTTTTACATCTGTCTAGATTAAGTCAACAAAGCAATTTGCAATTTATCGCAGTAAAAGTTATTTTGATTTGAATTCTTTTACTCTCAAATTGAAAAAGCTTGAAATGCCCTTATGTGTAAGAATCCAGACATTCCTTTCCTTGAAACCATCCTAAAATTCAACCCAAGTCCAGACTACTGCACTAAACAAGCAGATGGTTTTTTCCCATGGACTAGTAATTATGAGTAGCATGTTCTGTTGTGAGCTGGATGGATTAGGTCAACTAATACCTCTTCTTGCTCCAAGGGACAATCAGCTATACCTAATGTTGATGAACATCTAATCTGTTCTTTAAAACACCCAGGGATGGATGTTCCAGTGCTTAACTGTCCTTAAGATTGCAAAAGGCTTTTTTTCTCCAAATATTTAGCCTCAATCTCCTGTTTCTTCAGTTTATTAATACTTTCCATCTCTGCAGCAGCATGGAGAGTAGTTTATTCTTTTCCTCTTACAGTAATGACTGGAAGTCTGGTATCATGTCCCTACTTTCGTTGCTTTCTTTTTGGAGTATGCAAACCCAAAACTCAATTTTTCTTCATAGATATTTTTTTTTTCTTTGATTTTGTCCTTCCTGAGTGTCTCTTTAGTTTGTCACATTCCTTGTGTGATGTCTGAAAGTTGACAAAGAAGGTCTTAATGGAAGTATTTGGTAATATGTTATATCTCTGAAATGGGCATAATAGAGCAGGAAAGATTACTTCTGACACTTGTACACCTTACCTATTTATATGGTGTATACAAGCATGAAGGTAGCTCCTAGGGGAGTACATTATAATTTTAACATTGGAATCTTATCTGAAGTTTGTATCTGTTTCTATATACCTGCTGCTACCTAGCCACTCATTTCCCAGTTTTTGCTATTGTAACTGATAATATGAAACTTTGCACTTGCTGTTATTACATGAACAAGGATTGATCCACTTGTAATGATGCATGTTTTGCAGGGGGGAACCCTGTATCTGATTTAAATAACTGAGTATCCCTTCTTCTGTAAAGATGGGTCTCTCACCTACAAGGGCAGAAAAACTGAAAGCTTTTCGATCTTCTTCCTCTATGCTATTTGTTGCAAGTAAAAGAAAGTCTGTTTTTAGACATGTAAAGTCATAAATTTTTATTGACATTTAATATACTGTTACAGTTGTTACTGTGCAGATATTTTGAGGAGTTTCTAGAACTTTTGATGACTTAAAAGGAATTTTTAGTTGCTGTTTTGGCTTTCTTGGCAAAACAACGTAATGTTGTAAACTTTCAGGGTAAGATAGCTCAATATCTTTGTGTCTTTAATAACCTTTTATTCTTCTCACATTTCAGATGCTGGCATCACCATCAACATCAGGTCAGCTGTCTCAGTTTGGGGCAAGTTTATACGGGCAACAAAGTAAGAATTCTTTTTATTGGTGATATGTTTGTTTTATGTTAAATATGTCCTAGTTTCACGCTCTTTAGATAGAGAACATGCCTATGGCTTTGTTTTCTGGTGATTGTAAGAAAGAATATGTCTCCTTATTTGTGTGATTTCTTTTTTTTTTTAAAGATGTATTTTTGCTTATGCATTTTTGCAGTGTTTAGTGTGCGGAGTGTCATATATTGACACTGTATAGCTGTTAAATATCCAAATGTAACCATCCTATAAAGAATGTCTGTGATTTAACTGTTACTCTCTGAAGGAAAAACAAAAGAAAGCAAGCCGGGCCAAAAATAAGGAAACCTTACCTTAAATTATAACTGATATTTCACGCTCTGCAGAAGCGAATTAAATCTTGTGTACCTGCTTGGCAACTCAAATTTGGCAAAGAACTGTGTCAGTAAGATTATTGCCTTCTGCACCACTGTTGGTTTTTTTTCTCTTTTCCATACCTTGAAGATTTTCTTCTGTATCTGCCAGTCTTGTGTCTGCTATTGCAATAGAAGACCTATAGAGCCGCAGTCACAGCGTGTAACGCTAGCCACCTAACTTAAGGTGCCAGCGTTGAGAACCGAACCTCCTTGTAGCTGAGAGGTGCATCCAGAAATTGACTCAGATGTTCTCAGTTAGATACATTTATGGAAGTAAAATGGGTTTGTGAATGTCTTTTTCATCACTGTACACTTTGGAGTGTTTGCAACTTTCTTGCTGAGTGCATCTGACTCAGATTCTAAGAAAAAGTATTTTCAGAATACTCTAAAGAGAGTGGACTTTTTTTATCTGGATAAACTAAAAGTTTTGTCTGCTAGATGCATGGCCTTCACAACTTCTTTTGGCTTTCTTCAAATGGTGTAAAAAATATGTAGTGATTTTTTTTTTTTTTTTACCATCTCAGTGGCTGTTGATTAGTGACCATCTAATATAAACTGGCATTTGATTTTGCTACTGAGACTTACATGAGTAGTTTCTGGCCAACCTGAGAGTCGTGTTTTGCTCTTGGCTTTTTGGGTCCTGAATCTGACCCTATTGAACCTTTCAGACTTAACTGTGTAAAGATACTGAAGTAGTTTGTTCATTCTGTTTATCACAGTTATATGTAGTTCATTTTTAAGATTAACTTTTTTCATCAACTTTTATTGTTGATTCAGTTGGTTGTGGTGCCTAGGACATAATCTCTCTAACATGGATATATGCATGGCTAAAAACTAGAAAGTAAATATTATCGGGGTTCAGTTTCTACCAAATACTGAGAAAAAGGGGCGAGAAACTTCTGTGTTGAAGTCAATGCTTATGAAGAAAATACTTTTGGGAAAAACAAAGCTGATAGTGCCTACGCACTTTTAGATTGGTAGCTGTGAGTCATTTAGCAAGATGTCATGTTACAGAGTTAATGTAGCTTAAACTTAACTATTAGGCAGAAAATTGGCCACTTCATTGATCAGCCTCCAATATAGCCCATGCAGATCTCTTGTCTCAGTTAAAACGGTAGAAAAAGGAAGCTTCAGAAAAAAGATTTTTATTTTTCTTTCCTTATGGTGAATATTTCTACTGCCCCTACTTGCCAGCCACAGGAATATAGTTCTACTTCACTGTAGTAGCCTACTCATGAAAAATTCTAGTGTAAAGAAAGCCAACAACAAGCCAAGAAATAACCATCAGTGTAAAACTGGCTTTGCTGAAACCAATGCTTGCATAAAATTAACCTGAATATCGTAATCATGTTTTTCAGTGTACTGTATCAAGTTTGGAAGTGTATGTATTTCTTTCTTTACAATTTTATTTTTAAAATTCCACCTAATTGTTAATTAGTGTGAAATATTATTTATAATATATATTTATGCTCATTGAAATTATTCTGATGCAGCAAATTGCCAAAATATTTACAGTGAATACCTTGATATAATCAGCATTTAACAAAGTCTTAGGAGGCTTGTTATAGCAAATCACACTCTTAATCTGAATGTATAGAGAAAAATTTGAGCGTTAGCAAAACTTTGAGTGTTATTGCAAACTTCTTGGATTGCAAATCATAGGGTAGGACAGGGACAGACAGCAGTCCTTAAAAGTGTGAGAGCTGAACGACTGGGAGGTTTCTTCAGACCTTGTCCATAATGATAACCTGAGCGTATGCTGTGTCCGTTCTTTGCATTCTTAGTACTTAATCACATTATACACTGGCACATTCAGCTCTTCTGCAGGGGTGATCTACCATGGGAGAGCACTGATTTATCATCATTTTTCTTTTGTTTGGTCTGCAAGATAAGGTTTTGAGTTCTGTGAGTCTACCTCAGCAGCCTTGTGCCGAAGCAATAGGGACCATTACTTATAGCTATCACATTTTATATGCTAAGTTTGTTTCTATTGATGTGTTGCACTAAATGACTTTTTCTTGTCTTTGAACACCATTCTGAAACTTCATAAACACAGAAAAGTGATGTGAGAATGATGAGAAACTTCATAAAAGTTCACAGATGTTTTGAGATGGGCAGCAACTGGTTATCTTTTGCTGTTCTGAGTTAAAGTGATTTTTTTTTTTTTTTTTGCCTCACTGAAGTGCTTGCTTTATTCTGTCACACCCAATTGTTTGTGTAGAAAATACTTCTGATCGCAATGTTAAAAATCTTCTGTATATTTTTAAATGCTAATATAGGGCAGTTAAAATCCTGCTTGTTTTCTTTTCTCAAAAGATTTAACTTGACTTGATCGTGGACACTGAAGTTCTGTTATCAAAAAGAAGCAACTTAAACTTTACAGAGAACTAGCCTAAAAAGTTGCTTTTGTTGTCCTAAAAGCAATGTTATTGTTATCTAAATATTAATAATTTTCTTTTTTATTAAAAATTTGTTTAATTTTTAACAAGACAGATCAGCATTCTAAATACTGGCCAGATGTATACCAGTTTATTCAAAAGCAATTAATGTGTTTCGTGAGTGCTGTTATTAATTTTCTCAAAACGCTGCCTTTTTTGAGATAATTTGTAGATTTTCATGTCCTCATCAAAAACTCTAAAAGCTTTCTTTACAGTATGCATCTCAAAGGAAACAAAATTTTGCTAGTGACTCAAATACAGAAATTCCTTAAAGAGCCTCTCTAAAGTTTAACAAACAGGGCTAAATTTGAGATAATCGGGCTTCTACTATGCAAACAAGGGCTTAGTTTTTACACTGCACTTCAGTCTTCACACTTTTTTGTAGGTTGTCAGCATAAATTGTTTCCATCTACACCTGATGGAGAAGACTTTGTTCCTGATTGCTCTATATCTCCACCCCTCTGAATTTTTTTTCAATAGGTGCACTAGGCCTTCCAATGAGGGGAATGAGCAACAATACCCCTCAGTTAAATCGCAGCTTATCACAAGGCACTCAGTTACCGAGCCACGTAACGCCAACAACAGGGGTACCAACAATGTCACTTCACACGCCTCCATCTCCGAGCAGGTATTTATTGATAGCCAATATTTCTGCAATTGTGTCTTTCTGCAGAGCACTTGTTAAATGTTCTGCATATTTTATCTCAACTACTTTACAGTCTGATTAATTAAAAAAGAAGAAAATTAGTTTCTATTGACCACTGTCTGTGTTAGGGAAATAATACTGTAAAATAGTAAGATAGGACTACTGTAAGACAGTATTTGATTTTTATATGTAAAGGACAAATTGCTGGCAAATTCTGCTTCAGAATGTAAAAGGCTGGTTTTCTATTGTTCTGGTAAATGTACAGTTAAAATTTTTGTATGGATGTCATACACCCTGTAAGAATTTTAAGGTAGTAGGTCTGAAGCACTCATTAAAAAAAGAGCTGTAACACCTTTTCAAATCATAATGCTTAAGTATTTATCGAAACCTGACCAAGGACTTGATTAGTATGTAATGGGTCATCTGGTATTTCTGAAGAAATCCAAAACTACGTTAATTATAGAGAGTAATCCAAACATGCTCTATTGATGCTAAGCTCAAATTAAGTTGCAACAGTTCAGAGTCCATCCTACATTAGTAATCTAAATGAGTAACCAAATACTATTGTATGGATTCATCTCTGTGGATGGTTTTTCTCTTTCAGGGGGATATTGCCTATGAATCCTAGGAATATGATGAACCACTCCCAGGTTGGTCAGGGCATTGGAATTCCCAGCAGGACAAACAGCATGAGCAGTTCAGGGTTAGGCAGCCCCAACAGAAGCTCTCCAAGCATAATATGTATGCCAAAGCAGCAACCCTCTCGACAACCTTTTACTGTGAACAGGTAAGGCTGTTTAGTCAGACCATCCCTGTACAGCCATGGACATGCTTAAACGCTGGTCTGGAAATCTAATTTGTATCCATTAGAGTAAAGCTCTAAAGCTGCTTTGTGTATTCTTGTCTCCTGGCAATAAACTGTGAAGCTGCTTTTAATATTCACACAAGCTTTTTGAGGCCTTTAAGCTAAATTCTGCTTCTGACTATTGAATTTCTACTGCTGCTTCTTTAGAATATGTGATGTTTCTCATGTGCTCCCAGGTTTGTTTTTGAAACATATCTTGATTTTTGGGTATATGCTTCCATTTTAAGACTATTCATGTATGAGTTTGGGGAGAAATAAGATTTAAAAACGCAGTAATTATTCTGGAAGATTAGTTAACTGATTCAGACACAGTAGGGTTCTAGTATTTTACTACTGTAAATTCTGGAATAATACAGAGAACAGTGGTTTGCCATTCGTTTAAGGATTTGGTGCTCATTTGGATGTCAAAAGCTTCCCAATCACTTCTGCTCTAACTCTGGGCAAGAGTCTAACATCATAAGTCACTAGGCTTTAACTTTGTTTCGGTGCTGCGTTTATAGTTAGTTCATACTGATAAACTTGTAGTAAAAAGTGTGTTAATCCTGTTTAATGTGTGTAGTCACAGCTTCACACAGCTGACTGCTTTGCAGGCTTCATTCCCAACGTCACCACCTCTGTGCTGCGAGTTTCGTCCTTTTTCTCCCTTCAGGCCCTTCCTTAGGGTACCAACTTTTACATGGAGCGTAAACAAAAGCTCATGGCAGGCAGGTGCTACCTCTAACCCAGTCCAGTATTTTACAAAATGGATAAAAGAAGGTGAAAACTAATGTCAAGGTTATCTGAAACTTGGTCAGGCTATTTAGTTCTGTAGTTTCACACTGCGATACAGGCATAAAAATGCTTTTCTCAATCACAGCCATAGAGATTTGGTGGTAGCGGTTTATGTTCTTGGCGTGTGAGAAGACTCTGTATCTTGCCTCTGATTACATAGAATTTGCCTTTTCTTTCCTGTGATGTAGAACAGCAAGTAAAGGAGATGATAATTTTAAAAGATAATTTTACATTTTAAAGTCTTTTTGAAACTTGAGCATCACAAAAGATTGAAATAGAAATATACTTTAAAACTCCACATGCAGAGGACAATGATTTTGGAGATTGATATATGTATAGAAAGTAATTGTTTAAAGATCATTCAACTGTAGAGTAGATAACAAAATTCCTGTCTGTAGGAGCATTTGAATTAAAATCCTCATCTTTTGCTGTTTGCATTGTATATCTAATTTTCAAGAAGCTACAATTTTTACAAATTGAGAAGGAAATATAACTGGAACAATGACAAGTTCTTATTCCACAGTTTATTAGCCTACGGAAGTGTAGTAGTAGTATATATCCAATTGTTAAATGACATATTTAACAAAATTTTGAAATTATACTTGGGGAAAAAACTTACGGTGTTTCCTTGACAGGTGCATGAATTATGTGACTTCCAAGAAGTGTTTTCTGAAAGGTTGCTTTAGTTGGAGCAATGAAAGTTTTTAAGTTTTTGAACATAAAAAATACTTCACTTTCCCTTTCTTAGTTACATTGGTAAAACAGGTTGCAAATAATTGTAGACAAGCATGCGTTTTGTGGCCTAATCCATTTCTTATGGCTAAAATTCTTAAGGTGGTTATTTCTAATTACTTTAAAAGCAAACAAAAAAACCTTTGCATGAGAAATACTGTCATCAGGCTAGATTATGTGCCCTCAAGATCGAGTTTACTCCTGTTGGTGCTCTCACCAGGTCTAGAATTCACAGATGACAACAGGAGAATGTGTTTCTTCAGATGTGTGAGGTGTCAAAGATCTGGATGTCTTTCAAGTACACCACCGTGGGGAAGCAAAGCAGGACAGGACCAGTCTTGACTAACTGTTCCTTTTCTTGATGTCTCAGTCCAAAATGAAGCATTTAGGGCTATTTCAAATTGGAATGAAATGCTTCAGATTTCTAACTGTGCAAAAAGTCCGTGTAAGAGCATTTGACACTTTTATTTATGGGAACTTCTAGAACATCAACTTCCATCCTGTTACAGGGGAAAAAATGAATGTTGTGATTTCCCACAGGGTAGAAATTCAGAATTTCAGTCAGCTGGGGCCTACCTTCAGGCTTCTCAACATCTCCAGCTCTCACAGAATGAAGTGAATCATTTGTGAGGGTGTCTTTCCGACCACAGTAGTCCTATATGATATTTAGACATCTTTGAACATTTTTCCGGACTATATGAAACTTCAATTTAGCTGGTATGCTTGTGTGGCAGAAACCAGCCCTATGCTCATAATAGTGCCATGTGTACATGGTGATCATAGAATGGTTTGAGTTGGAAGGGACCTTAAAGACCATCTAGTTCCAACTCCCCTGCTGTGGGCAGGGACACCCTCCACTAGACCACGTTGCCCAAAGCCTCATCCAGCCTGGGATGATTGCGCACTGTAACTGTTCAGCTTATAACTGAGTCATGACAAACCTGATCACTTCCACAGTCCAGCTTCGCACCTGCAAATGAATGGATTGCAGTCTGACTTCTCATGGTTGCATTTACTGCTGCTTCGTTTTCCTCTATGAAATTATTGAATGACAATCACGTTTGTCATAACTTGTTGGTTGACGTATGTCTTAAGACACAGTTGCTATTAAAAAACTAAGTTATTTTGAAGTCATTCTAGTTGTCTTGATTAAGCAGTTCCTGCTGCTGCTTGGAGTTTTCGGAATTATAAAGGAAAATAATTAGATCTGAGTTTAGGCTAATGTGGGATGCATAAGCTTGAAGTAATTTAAGTGTCTTAGGAGGGGTTTTTTCCCTTTATGCCTTCCACTGGAAATTACAAAGTATGTGTACCCGTTTGTCTGACTGTCTGGATTTTTTTCACAGTATGTCTGGATTTGGGATGAACAGGAATCAGGCATTTGGAATGAATAACTCCTTATCAAGTAACATTTTTAATGGAACAGGTGAGTTTACTCTGAATAGTGCTGATCTTAAAGTACAATAGAGATATCTTTGACTAAATAAGTCTGTTGGAGTGCAACTTTGTTATAATTTTCAGTTGTTCTGTAGAAATGCTGCTCCAATAGTGGTGCTATGAAACTGTTATTACTTCATAATAGTGGAGTTTAATAGTTTTGAAGACAAAGTGAAACTATTCTGTAGAATACTTGCTGTACATCACATGACTATAGATTATACCTAGTTGGTTAGAAATGCAAAATAGCTTATGGAATTGAAAAGTGGATCAGAGAAGTTGTTTCAGTTGTGATTTTTCTCTGGAAATTACTTCTTCACCTGAATTTAATGAACTGGAAATAGGAAAATATCCTCGTACATAAATGCCTTAGGTTTGTCCATGCTCACATTTCTGTAGGTGGCTGTGTATATGAAGCCACTTGAGGTGCTGGTGACATCACAGAGTGGAAGGGTTTGGGCATCCCCTAGGACCTTGTGGCATCGTTATAGATTTGCAGATCTGGCCTCATCTATATGTTATTGTCTGCTGCAAATTGAAAGATGTTCCCATGTAACTTGCACTGCATTGGCTCTACAGCTGCTTCAGCTTTGTCTTACCTTACCTAAAGACAAAAATGCTCCTTGATGCTGCTGCTAATATGGGTTATTATCTTCTCTCAGATTTCTTCTTGATAGCAAGATAGAATCTTGATCGATTGTTTTAAACAGGCTACTTATCCTAGTACTGTAATTTTGGTAGTCTGCCTGTATTTTATGTGTGCAGTCTTTAATTCAAAATGAGTAGACCTTGTTACTAAATACTGCTGGCTAGCTATTGTTTCAAAAAAAACCCTGAACATCTTGATGCTCTTTAGGCTAGTCTCATAACACAGTGGTTGTAATTATTTGTAATAAGTATAGTAAGTGTAAAAAGATCAACTAGAAGGAAAATATATCATAAATTTATCTTGCTCATAATGAAATATTTGAGTAAAAAACTTAAGGGAATTTAAAATATCTGCTTTTATTGTAGATGGAAGTGAAAATGTGACAGGACTGGACCTCTCAGATTTTCCAGCACTAGCAGACAGAAACAGAAGGGAAGGAAGTGGCAATCCAACTCCATTAATAAACCCTTTAGCTGGAAGGGCACCCTATGGTAAGACTATAGTTTTGAAAGCTTTTCAAACAAAACAGGTATTTGCTTGATTCACCTTTTGCTGTTCATAAGACAACAGGTAGTCTTTTCAAAAATGCCAGATACTTGAGCTCCTAAGTCTCATTTTTGAAAATAAATAATCGATATCTCTGTGATTAGAGATTCCCCTCAGGCTTTTGTAAGTATTAGAACGCCTCTGGTTTATTTTCACCATCAATAGAGGTTGTTGGGGTTTTCAGTCCATATAGTATGATTACTCTCAAACTGCTCACTCTAGACATTTCTTAGGCAATAGGTTGTTTCCTAGTTGCATGTGTACAAAACCCATCAAAGTCTGAGTAGTAAATTTTAGAAATAATATTTGATTATTAGAGACGTCATTTTGTAAAAAGCAGCTGTAAACATCTGTATATTTTCACTGTTTATTGGCAGTACTTACTGTAGTACTGTTCACTGTCACCTTTATCATGAACATCTGATTTCAAAAAAATAATATGTAAGCGTCTAATTATCGGTCAGATTCCAAGCCTGTGTCTTATATAATTCTTGCTGAACAGCTTAAAAAATAATAAAGGGAAAAACGTTAAGATAGATACAAATCTTATTATTTGGGTCTGGAAAAAATTCAGGTAAGCTTAGCGTGAAGCACAATACTCTTTTTTGTTACTGCTTTGGTAGATTTTGTCATGCATGTTGCATCAGCTACTCCGAAAAGTTGCTTTTATAACCTAAAGTTATTTTTGTGACACTTGTCAAATTTCCAACCAGAAATACCCCATTGCTTTCTAACTATAAAAAGCTAGTGTTTTTCAGAGATATCTCCAACTTTAATTGGAGAGAAATAATAGATACCGCATTATCAGGAGAAAATAGCTTCATGGATTGGGCGTAACCAGGACCGTGTGCTTAAGATAACTGGGAGAAACAGCTGAACAGGTTCAACTAAAGTGCTCCTAAGCACAGGGAAAAGTCCCTTCCCCAAATAAAGGCACTGAAAAGTCACACTGAGTGTGGAGAACTAATATGGCTTGTGGTTTACATGAGATTTGGTCTGTCTCTGAAAGAGAAGCCATTACATGGAAAATTGATAGAAGGTAGGAAGGAGATCCACACAGAGATACTTCCAGAATGGAGCTGGAATTCAACATTCAGCAGCACTGCTGCATAAAAAAATCTGTAATTGCTCCCGTGCTTACACCATTTCCCTGTTTTGGTGCTAGTATAGCTGTTCACACAACTGTGGTGAACCGGGAAAGAAATTTTTCTGTCTGAAGAGTTATCTTGAGCATCTGCTTAATGCAGGGGATGGGTATGGTGGTAGAAACAATCAAGAAATACGGGTATGAGATGCACTGGATGCTATCTCCAGTAACAAAAAGTGGAGAGCATTTTTGGTTGTGGTCAAGAAAAAGAAGGTTTGAAACTGAGCAGATACATACTTTCTTCATGCTTAGCTTATTTAGGAAAATTAGACTTCAAATAATTTTTAGATAGACTAAGAATATGCAACACAGTTAATTCATTATCAGTTTTATTCATCCACTGGAAGAAATCATAATAACTGTGGATGAAAAAGGTGAAAACCAGAAACAAGATTAACTCAGTGGTTTTTTTTTTAAATAAAGGAATTTTGATCTGTAACTTCAGAATACTAGAGAAAGTTGTATATGTTGTCAGCTACTGAACTATTTTGGATCCTATACGTCTATTAAGAAACTTCGGAAAAATAGGCCCTACTCTGCTTCTGTCTTCTCTTCCTCTAGTGCAGTGTTTGCAACCAAATCACTGTATTTTCTGTCTCTCAGCAAAGAATATTTGCCCTTGGGTGCATGGTGGGGGCTTTTCTTTGGTTGTTTGTTTTGTTTGGTTGTTTTTTAAACTGGCATAAAAAAAAATGTTGCTTTTCAGTAGTCAGAATCCATGTTCCAATGTGACTGGCCTACTTTTTTTAAATTAGGGTCAGAGCACTGAGAGTTGCAGGCTAAATGCTTTCAGTTTTCATACTGAAAGTAGGAGTCATTCTTTATGTCACAGGCAAGTATTTCATTGGTGATATGTTCTGTTGCAAGTTAGCTGGGCATCCTTTAAGAATACGTGCTTCTAAAGAGATTATGCTAAGAAATTCTTCATGCAATTAGGGGATGGAGGAAAAATGTATTATGATCTTAAAAGCAGTACATCCTTCCTTCATCAGTGGATTTCCTTAAATACCGCTTTAATAATGCCTGTAAAGATTATTTGAGTATTTAGATAATACTCAGGTGCTGTTCCTGGTAAAAATACTGGGCTTCATTCTTAAAGCAGTGGATGTGTCTATGAATTTAACCTGGAGTGTTTCTCAGCTCACATTTAAATAAGAGGCTTTAGTCTAATATGTGTGGATGTTTTAAATGAATATGCTTTGTTTTGGTTTACCTGGTTTGGTTTTCTGGGTTTTTCTTGAAAGTAACTTCTGCTGTACAGCTTGCACATAATGAAATGGACAATAAGCAAAATCAACAGCAGAAAATTCTTTACTTAGCAGTGGTTTAATGTTATTCCTGCTTTCATTTTGATGATAGTTGGAATGGTAACAAAACCAGCAAGTGAGCAGTCCCAGGACTTTTCAATACACAATGAAGATTTTCCAGCATTACCAGGCTCCAGCTACAAAGACCCAACATCGAGTAATGATGACAATAAATCTGTAAGTAAACTTTAAATCTTTTGAGTGTTCATACTTCTTTTGATGATTATATTTTTAAAATGGGCAGTGACTATATTTGTAATATAAGATTTGCAAATTTGCCCCTCTAAATTAATGAGAAATTTTGCATAAGCAGCATTTCATATATAACTATGTAAATGGAATTTCTCAGGAAGTTTTTTGTTCCCAACAGTCACTGTGACCTTGCTTTCTTAATTTTATATGACTTCTGTGTATCCTTTTGTATTTTCGGAAGGGGCCCCAGAGGAACTTGCAAGAACACCTCAACTTTTATCTTTGAGAATTGATATATATTTTTCAAAGTTTGCAATTCCTAATTTCTTTTTCTACCAATTCCAGCTCATTTTTTGCTGTTGGTGTCTCTCATCAGTGGTAGTAATTTACATATTATGACATCTTTCTTCAAAGCTGTCAAATGCTGTAAAAGTTAGGTACAATAGGTACCAGTATCACTTAAAGGTAAAATTCTTGATCAGGAAATGAAATCACAGGGAACGAGCTTTTTTAATAGAGACCATTGCATTCATGGCTATGTTGTAGACTAGTGGGATACACTGTATCTTAAATATTGTTGTAGTTATCATGTGTTATGTATATAGCTTAGATCATAAGATTATGGGATTTTTTCATTGTTTACTCTAAAAGATTTGTAATAAAATTTGATTTTTTTATTACAAATGAAAGGTGAATAAAATTTGGATGGCAGAGAACAGTTTCCTACAGTGTTTGACAAAATGTTCTATTTTCTGGTTGGTTTATTATTTATAATTGCAAAAAAAACGTTAATCAGAGTGGCATAAATACTGATGAGTAGGTAGAAGATGTGACTACAAACTGATGTGAAAACTGAAAAATGCAACTGTTCAAAAAAGGGATGGGGGGAAGCCTAGCCCCCAAACATTGTGATCAGGTTTATCATGTGAAAAATGTTCTGATACATTTAGCGTTGAATACGGTAAGGAAGGAGGGAGTAAATGCGATTACTGTAAATCTGTTACTGCAGATTTGTTTTAAAGAACGATAAATAGTAAGAAGCAATGGTTATGGAAGATAGCTTTTGTCAGTATATGGGCTTCTGGAGCACAGTCACAGTTTTCTTGCCAGACATAGTGTTCCCATCTCTTTCCTGATAGTTGCAAATGTGCCGAATATATGTTGCTTGCACCTGAAGTTGCCTTGAGTTACCTGTTGATATGTCATGGAATGCTATGCAGGAGCAAGACTGTCTGGGGAAAATATACAATGTGATGAGTCCAAAATATCCTCTAGTCTCAGGCAGTTGGGATATCCATTGTGTATTCAAACTCAGGTCTAAAATATTTCCTTATCCTTTTAGACTGCAAGCTGTAGGCTCTTCCTGTACAACAGGTATACTTTAGGAAGTAGTAAATATTACATAAGATTTGTCAACAGAACTCAAGAGCTTCAGCCTTGTTCCATTTTAGTGCCTAATTTATTAGTGACTTGATGTACTGATTTAGAGTGCCTGACTGAAAGATATGGTCAACAAGTTTTTTCGTTTTGGTTTGTTTCCATCATACCAACTCTGCAAATTATTTTTAATAGAATTTGAGTACATCAGGCAAAACATCATCCAGCACAGATGGGCCCAAGTTTCCTGGAGATAAAAGTTCAACTACGCAAAACAACAACCAGCAGAAAAAAGGGATCCAGGTGTTACCTGATGGTATGTGTCATTCCACTTTTTCTTCTCTAAAAGTTTTGACAGTCATTTAGATTACCTTGTTGATTCCTCTACTTCTTGAAAGGAGAAAATTAATTTGTTCTTCTTGCCCAGGTCGGGTTACCAACATTCCTCAAGGGATGGTGACGGACCAGTTTGGAATGATTGGCTTGTTAACATTCATCAGGGCAGCAGAGACAGATCCAGGAATGGTACATCTTGCATTAGGAAGTGATTTAACAACACTAGGTCTCAATCTCAACTCTCCTGAGTAAGTTTCTGGTTTTTAGTACTATCTTTAGTTTTGGTTTTATTATGCTGTCATTCATAATAGACTCACTTAGCTCACATGACTATCAAACCCACAAGATATTTTACCAAATAAAATTTGGAAATGTAATGACAGTAAAATAAAATTTTCATAAACAAGAGAATTGTGCTTCAAGGCATACTGAGATCTTGTTATGCAGGCTTTCAGTAAACATAGTGGCTTTCCTTATTCTAACTTCTTTAGGACTTTCTTCGAGGAATTGACAGTGTATTGTTAATAAATTCCATGTATATGTTATTTTTCAAATAATAGTATTCCTTGAGGATATCTGCACTTAACTCTGAGCAATTTGGGGGGTAAATTTGATTTATATTAATGTAATAATCAACAGAGCATCTGCAGTGTTACCCTGCACCAAAGATTAATTTAAATGAAAATGTAGTTTTATAACTTCTAGTCATTCAGTTCACCTAAGTTTAGTCATCTAGACTTCCTGTAGAGGCAGTGGGGAGAAAAGCAATTAGTGTCTGCACTAATGGTAAGATAAGTGCTTAAGATAGATGAGATGAATCACCAGCCCAGGGTGCCTCTCTCTCTTCACTAGTTATAGAAGGAACTTAGATCAGTTTGGACAAACTGCTTATCTTCTAGGTGACTGTAATGATGAGAGCAGTTTAATTTCTGGTACTCTGACTTTCAGCTGAGAATATTCCATCATTTTGTTTCAGCAGGGATTTATGTAGTGTTAGCCTAATTGACAGAACAGTATATGCATTTTAAGGTTTGCACATAATATATTAATGAAACAAAGACCAAACAGCATACGCACACGCAGTTTCCGTGTTTCACAAATTTATATGGAGCTGCACTCTGAATTCATGAGTTCAGGGAAGACTGATGAATGTGGATATCAAGGTGAGAGGGAAACCATAGGAAAAATGGCTCCTGATTTTTTTCTGTCTTGAAATAGTTGGCATGAATTCACATATTTCTTTCTAGAGGTGTAACTTTTTAGAAATTACCACTCCCAGAAATTCTTTCTGTAGAGCTTGCATCAAAACTGAGTCAAATTGTTATGCCATTGGCACTTTTAAGGATATTTTGAAGCCATCATCCAAAGTCAGCTTTCTAATACAATTGTCAGTAGTTATCTGCAGAATGTGTTATGTTAATGTAGCATCTTCTTCGCTTGTAGCGTTAGTCTCGCACGCAGGTTGCTCCTCCATTGAATCCAGTAGTTTCTCACTCCCATCCCTTTCTCCCGCAAAATAAGGAGAATGCACAAAGAACAGTTGCACTGACCGTCGGTGGTTGGTTGTCCTTGGTAGTCCCAGAGCTTACAGCACTGACTGGGAGATGGGTCTCCTGGATCTGCGTGATACTGAAGTAATTTGCTGTTCTCAGTACAGATTGCTCAAACATGATTTGAGGGTGATCAGCTGAAAGTAGAATGCCTTTGCTCATTAAAATAATTTCAAGTACATTGGTATCTGAATTCTTGAGCTGTTATAGACACAGGTGGAATCTAGTTATGTCACTTGGTTATATAGCTGCTTTCTCTACATGTTGGCATGCAGAATAGTAGTAGTGATGCTATTTTTGGTGATGCTATTTGATATTTTATTCAATCTTACTCATTAGTTTTAATGACTAACATAAAGCTTAAGCTTAACATACCTATTGGAAAGTCTACATAAAACTAGTACCACATTGCAGAGGAATACTAGGTATTCTTTGATGATGTAGTGATGACTTGTAACTGTGTTATGCAGCTCCTGAATACAGCATCCAAATTATTGGTGTGTCTTTGTATATAGGCAGTATATATACCTGGCATGCTGCTGCTTTTTCTTAGCAGCAGTATTGTAAATGACTGGATTTTTAAAAGCTTTTAACTTTTAATTTCTATGTAGAGGATATTTATGGGTCTTGGAAGTGGTAGGGTTAATATTTTATCCAGACAGTTCTATATCAGAAAGCTGGTTTTATTTTATACTACATAAAAGATTTGCAAACAGTCTGAGCAGTCCTCAGTGTCTGGCCTGCCATCTTGCCTTATATTAAACATCTTTTGCTTCCTTTATGAATTGTCTTTTTAAAAACTAAAAGCATTTCACATGTAGAAAGCTGAATTTTTTTGCCTTGTGAGGTACTTCTGATGCTAAAGGTACCTGTCTGACTTAAACAGCACAATAAATGTGCTAGTAGAAACAAAATTTTAGTATTTTTTTATATATATTT